CACTGATATGTTTTAAGGAGACTCTCATGTTTTCTTTTAAATAAATTGTGATGAATATGGATTTGAAAACAATTATGTTGGGATTTTATGATTTATGTAAATGTGTTCGACTAATTAAAAATGAAAATTTTAATTGAAAATTTTGGGTCGTTACACTGGATGAGTTGTCCTAGCAACTCGACGAGTCGGATCAAATTACCCCATCTTATGGATACTGAGTACACTCAACGGGTTGATGAGACAACTCAGTGAGGGTTTGTCCCGGTTTTCCTGAACTCTAAAGGAACTCGACGAGTTGCTAGATGCACTCGATGAGTTGGGTTCAACATGGGCAATTGAACTTGACGTTGACTATGGATGTCCTACTTTGAATTTAAGTATATTTTTTGAATTTGGAGATTTTGACAAATCTATTCACTTAGTGGTTGTAGGCAGTTGAATTGGAGCTGTGAGTTGAGATTTGATCTTATCAGTTCAACATTTCTTGAGAGGCGAGTCTCCTCAACATACCAATGGGTTGAAGGCACCAAGCCAAGCCCATTATTGTTATATGATATGCTAGTTGATTATTTGCATTGTGGTGTGCTATTCGTATTTGTGGTACTTGCATGAAATACCTCAGGGTGTTCCCAAGGCATTTGGGTGTAAGACCTTGGAGGATTTCCAAGGCAGCCTATATAGAGATCTCAGGGGGTTCCCAAGGCATTTCAATGCAAGACCTTGGAGGGTTTCCAAGGCATCCTAGGTAAAGCCCTTGGGGGGTTCCAAAGGCACTAAGGTGTAAGACCTTAGAGGGTTTCCATGGAATCAATAGTTAACACCTCGGGGTCTTCCCAAGGCAATGGGCTAAGACCCTGGAGGTTTCTAGGGTACCTAGAGTAAGACCCTAGAGGGTTTCCAGGGCCTCCTTATATGTTTATGTTCATGGATTATGTGGTATGTGTAGCTTATAGAGTTAATATGGAGTATCTGATTATGTAGATTGTGTTGGGTATGCTCTGGAGAACTCACTAAGCATTCACTTACAGTTTGTTGGTTGTTTCAGGTACTTCAGAGCCTAAGGGCAAGGGCCCAACATGATGGCATGACATGCACTCTCTGGTGTTTCTGTAGGGACACTCTTTATTTTTAGATAATTTCTTTGATATTATGGATTTTTAGAAAACAAATGTGGCTGAATTGTTATGTCTTTAAGAATGATATTGTTAATTAAAAATGAAATTTTTTATTGGATAATTGGGTTGTTACAACCCTCTTCAAAACAGTTGTGATCTCTACGTCCATCTTAGAGATCTCTTGAATATAGGCTCTGATCATCCTTCATAAATGTTGAATAATAGGTTCATATTTCATCTGATATTTATGTTGGATTAGGTGATTAAGCCAATAACTAAATTGATATATACTTGAATTAAAAGCAAAATCCTTTGGGGTTCCCCTCAAAACTAGTAACTGACTCGAATGTCTTTCGGAGAGAAATGTTGATTTATTGATTTATTATATGATTAATAAGTAGCAATAAATAATTTATTGATATATTAATTTGAAGTAGTACTATTTAATAATTAATCAGAAATTAATTTTGGGATTAATTGGATTAATTAACATTGCAAGGACTTACGCTGTAATTGTTCAAAAATTAAAGAAGAGAGGGATTTTGGGATGTTCCTATGGTGGCCTAAATTTGGGAGCCTCCTAGGGTTACCAGAATGCTCCGAGTGGATAAAAAGGAAATTAGATAAATTCAGATTTGAAATAATATTATATTATTTGAAATTAGGATTATTTAGGATTTTCCTATCCACTATAAATAGGTCCCTTTAGGTTCCTTATTTTTGTCTAAGCATACCTAAAGCAAGAAGAGTCGAATGTCTATTCCCATCTCCTTTATCTTCTCTAATCTTCCATTAGTAGGGTTTGGATACAAACCATTACATGCATCAAGCTTTTGGTGTTAAATTTCCAAAAGACTTCAAGATAGGAATTGTTTGGTTATTTACAATACTAATTAAAAGGTATGGAAACCATAATCCTTGTTATTTTCAATAATAGGATGATAGGCTAGGGTTGTTTGGTGTTCAAAGATTATAGATATCAATAGATAAAACTTAGATTCAAATAGGTTGCATGTGAACTTAAGGGTTAAATTATTTCACCTCATGCATTATATTGTAACCTATAAAACATAAAAGTGATATCAGAGCCATATTTTTATAGTTGATTGTGCATAATATAGTGAATAGATCAAAATTAGGGTTTCCTGGTTTTCTTAATTATCATTTTAATAGCCTTAAACTTTGAATAATTAAAATTGGATAACCCTAAAACCCCAATTTTCAAAAATTAGAAGGGTTTTCAATTAGGATTAAATTTGCATTATTTTATTAATTGTGTAATAGAAAATAATTATTTAATCCATAATGAGTTAAATTAATTTAATTAAAGGTTAATTAAAAGATAAATATTAAATCATAATTGGTTTAAATTTAATTTAGATAATTGAAAATTAAACATTATATTGTGAAATGTTTTAAAATAAACCTTATATATATTATTATTATTATGTATAAGTTAATTACTATATGTATAATAATAAGTCAGTCGAATCGCTAATATGTCTCATTCACGAAACAATACTATAAGGGGGGGGGGGGGGTATAAGGAAGTGGCCTATAAAATGGTTATTGAATGGGTGTCCATCTCACCCACCACTCTTTTATTTGGAGGAGAGTTGTTAGCAGAATGGGTTGGATAGGAGATAACTTTATTAAAAGTATAATGATTCAAAAGTACTAGAGCCTTCTTTAAAATCTCACTCTAGTTACTTTAGGGAAAATGTGAAAATATGCTAATCCATAAAAAAGCCCATCATACATTATATGTCTTTAGTGGAGCGTGTGTGGTTAACCTACACACTAGTAGGCACTACAAAGAGATATGATGGGAATCTGGGAAGTTATCATTGTTGATGGAGCGGGTGTGGTTAACCAACATGTCAAGTTGAGATAATAAAAGACCTCAAGGTTGCTAAGCGTGTTTGCATGATTATTCACATCTTAATTGTGATCCTTGGTATCCCAATAACAAATCGAACAACATAATATGAGATTAAACATGACCTTTTTAGACTCAATGAATCTCAAAAGATCTAGGAATTTCGTAGATTAAAATTAGTGAATTGTTTTACCTACCTTTATAAATTCGCAATTAGATTATGACATCCTCTTCTAGATTGTGAATTGTATAGTTGGATCCTAGCATTGAATATTTATTATGAGTTAAAATACTAAGGAATTCATATCATATAACTAAAACTTTTCTTCTCCTATAGATGTCCACTTCTATAAGTGATGTTGTGGCTACTCAAACCCTTACCAAAATCGATCTTATCAAAAGAGAAATTATTTGGTCCAAACTACATGGACTGGATGCAAAAAATCTCAAAATGAATCTTTCAATACAATGTCAAATAATATTTCCTTGATAAACCTCTACTCGTAATAGATGAGTCAACTGCTACTCCAGAGGAACGGGCTGCCTACAAACAACACTATGACAAAGCAACAAAGGTCGCTTGTGTAATGGTTGCAACCATAGTACCCGAGTTGCAAAAGTTATGTGAGGACTATTGGACATATGAGATGTTCCTAGATCTTGTAGAAAAGGTTTCACAATAATTCACGTCAATAGAGGTACGAGGTCATCAAGGCATTAATGGTGTGCAAATTGAAGGATGGAAAATCTATCTGCAACCATGTGTAAAGAATGCAGAGATATGTGGAGAGACTGGAAAGGCTCAATGTGGCTTTGCGCAAAGAGTGATCTTAACATGTTACCAAGATTAGGACTTATAGTTTAGTACTCAATAGTGATGTTAGGATTCATTTGTTAAATTGTTGTTATTTGTTAGAAATGATGCTAAACATTATTTCTTTTCATGCATTGTTGAAAAAAGGTTTTCAATATTCTTCTGATGATATCAATGGATTTGACTTTAGATTATAAAAATGATACTTTATGTTTAAATCTTTACCATGTAATGGTGTGTATGAAGTAGTGACTTATGTTGATAACTTAGGTAATAGTGTATTTCATATTGATTCATGTAGTGGTATAGACAAAGCATGCTTGTGGTGTTGTCAAATTGGGCACATTAAAAAGAAATGCATCGCCTAAATCCAAAAGGATGGAGTGTTGGAATAATTTGATCTAAGGTCAGATGATGGATGCGAGTCTTGTCTTTTGGGCAAGATGAAAAAATCAACTTTCAATAGGTCTTGTGAAAGAGGTGAAGGTTTGTTGCATATCATACATACAGATGTGTGTGGACACTTCAAATTCACTACAAGGGATGCTAATCAATTCTATGTGATGTTTACGGATGATTAAAACCATATATGGGTATATCTACTTAATCAAACATAAATCAGAAATCTTTGAAAAGTTCAAAGAATTTAAACACGAGGTCGAGAATCAATTGGGCAGGAACATAAAAATATTTCGATTAGATAAAGGAATAGAGTATCTTTGTGATTGTTTTTGTATAAGACGATAGATACATATATACACTTGAAAAAGTTATTTATGTATCTAAACAATTGATATAGTAATAAAAATGAATAGATTATCAAAAAATGCCATAGAAGATAATATCAAATCAATTGAAAACAACAAAGTAAATAAGATCTTTAAATTCCTTAGAGAGTAAAGATAAGTTTGATACAATGAAGAAAAAATGATTCTACAAAAGATATTATTTGTATCTAACTAACTCTCCTATTTGTATACTATGTGAGAAGATAGTCGTTTAGGCTCTGACATGTGAACCTAAGTAAATAAATCAAGACACCTAAGTCAACAGCCTATCAGTTAACTAACAAACTGCGAACCTAATTAATAATGAGTAACAAAGACATGCGAGATTGAAACATTCAGTTTGCATACAAAAAGAAAAGACTATAACATACAAGACTTGTGAAAGTAGTCTTCACTTCTTTTCATTAAAAACTTATGGAATCATCCCAAAGAATCATTTGAATATTTAACCACCATTTCAACATATCTGAAACAAACTTGATGTCGTTAGTGGTGTTTAATTTGTGTATATCAGCCCTTGAAAGAATAGTTGAAAGAGTTGTAAAGTAGAACAATCGTTTATCTCGTAAGTGCATCATACTATTACACAGAGCACTATTCTCATTTTTCTCACAAACTACACCCCATGGATCATTCTCAATAAAACCAATCTTAAGATTTTCCAATCCCTCAGGTTCTAGGAATGGCTTCAGAATATGCACCATATTCAAAATAGTTGCGATCTCGACATCCATCTTAGAGATCTCTTTAATATAGGCTCTGATAATTCTTCATAAATGTTGAATAATAGGTTCATATTTCTTCTAATCTTTATGGTGGATTAGGTTTCTAAGCCAATAATTAAACTGGTATATAGTTGAATTAAAAGCAAACGCCGTTTGGGTTGCCCTCAAAACTAGTAATTAGTTATAATGACTTTTGGAGATAGAGATTTATTTATTGATTTATTATATGATTAATAAATAGCAATAGATAATTTATGAATATAGTATGAGATTAATATATTACTTTGAAATAATATTATTTAATTAATAATTAATCAGAATATATTTTGTGATTAATTGGATTAATTAATATTGCAAGGACTTAAGGTGTAACTGTTCAAAAGTTCAAGAAGGGTGAGATTCTGGAATGTTCCTATGGTGGCTAAAATTTGTGAGTCTCCTAGGGTTTCTAGAATACTCCATATGGATAATAAAGAAACCGGATAAAGTCAAATTTGAAATAATATTATTTTATTTCAAATTTGAGTTATTTATGGTTTTCCTATCAGCTAAAATAGGGCCATCTGGGTTCCCCATTTTTCCCAAGCATACCAGAATCAAGAAGAATCGAATTTCTGCTCCCCTCTCCTCTCTTCTCTCCAATCTTCCATTTTTAGGATTTGGGTACAAACCATTAGTGACATCAAGCTATTAGTGGTAGCTTTCTAAGAGACTTCAAGAAAGGAATTGTTTGGTTATTTACAATAATAATCAAAAGGTATGTAAACCGTAATCCTTTTTATTTTCAATAATTGTAGGATAGGCTAGGGTTCTTTGATGTTGAAAGATTATTTCTATCAATAGAGAAACTCAGATCCAAATAGGTTGCAAGTGAACTTAAGGGTTAAGCATTTCACCTCATGCATTATATTGTAACTTATAAAACCTATAAGTGGTATCAGAGCCATAGTCTTGTAGTAGATTGTTGATATTGCCATATTTATACATATTTTTAGGCAATATTTATTTACATTTCTATTAATATTTTGGTTATTTGTATAGAATTATGGTACTTATACGGTTAAATTGTTATTTGCATCCAAAATAAAGCAATTTCGAAGAAAGGGACCAAAATGGACAAATCATGGAACTATGAAGGCTTGAAAGAAAAAAGATAAAGAAATCAGCAATAATCCGTACTCACGACGTGAGCAATTATAGATTCACGTCGTGAGTGGAGTAATCTAGAAGATATGCATCCGGATGAAAGAATCCTTGTCGCACACGTTTATATCATATTCACGTCGTGAGACTTATTGGCTCATGAAGTGAACTCGGAAAAATCAGAAACTATAAATATTCTTGGCCATTACGATTTGAAGAACTTTTGGCTGGTTGGAAGGTTTTCAGAAGACGGTTTTTAACAAGAGAGAAGTTCTGGAAAAATGGTTTCAAAGCCAAAGGAGTAAAAGTTCTTAATAAGTTTATTTGTTTGGTACTTATGAACATGTTTATTAATTTCATTTGTGTTTGTTTGATTGTTGCTATGAGTAGAAGAATCTAGCTACTCTTGTTTAGCTAGATGAAGCTTTTGACATATGGTTTAGCTTAATTATTAATAGATTTGATTAGTTGTTAAATTGCTTGTGTTTGATTTGTTATTACCTAGCATGTTAATATTTGTTTCTTTATTTACTTGAATTCATGTTATGTGTAGCGTAGTTATTATTAGATTACATGAACTTGAAACCTAGTGATTTGGTGAGCATTAAATTGCTAGAGCTAGGATCGACCAAAATCTTAGAAAGTAATTGAAGTAAATAAATTTAGTTGTGCTAGAGAACATAAATTATGACCATAATTCTGTTTGCCTAATCTTACATAGCAAATTCATAAACTACAACTTATTTTGTGTTTGACTGTGTGTGAGCATATATAGTTTTACATGAATTAGTTAATATTGGTAAATTTAGACTTAAATTACTAATACGATAATAACCAACTTGATAATCCATAATTGTTAGATAACCATAAAGAAGGAATGGATTCGAACTAAAGAAGAGTGTTTCTAGTAATTGATTGAAATTAATTTAAGTTCGTCTGATCTTGCAAAATCAGATAAAAAACCCTTCCTTTGTTAGTAACTAGGTTAATTTAGTGGTAAATAGATTAATCAGTTAGCACCGTTCCCTGTGATCAACATCCGACTTACTCAACTAATCTATAAATTTGACTAGGTACACTGCCTAAGTGCAATTTAGTTAGTAAGGAAGTTAGGTTATAAATATTAAAATTAGGTGTAGCTAATTGCACGTATCAATTTGGCATAATATAGTGAATAGATCAAAATTAGGGTTTCTAGCAATTAAACCCTAAAGGCCTTGAATTTTAGCAAATGAGTAGGGGTCCTTCAAACCGTAGCCTCCACCCGAAAGTTTGAAAAATCCTAGGGTTTCTTAGTTTCCTTGATTATCATGTCAATAGCCTTAAATTTTGAATAATTAAAATTAGATAACCCTAAAACCCTAATTTTTTTAAAATTAGAAGGGTTTTAGATTAGGATAAAATTTGAATTATTTTATTAGTTTTTTAATAGAAAATAATTATTTAATCCCTAATGATTTAAATTAATTTAATTAAAGGTTAATTAAAAGATAAATATTAAATCATAATTGTTTTAAATTAAATTTTGATAATTAAAAGTTAAGATTTGCATTTTGAAATGTTTTAAAATACATCTTATATATATATATATATATATATATATATATATATATATATATATATATATATATATATATATATATATATAGATATATATTATCATTATATGTTAACTAGTATATGCATAAGAATAAGTCAGTCGAATCGTTCTACGTCTCATTCACGAAGCCATACTATACGGGAGTTATAAGGAAGTGACCAATAAAATGTTCGTTGAACGGGTGTCTACTCTCACCTACCGCTTCCTTATTTGGTGGATGGTTACTAGCAGAACGAGTTGGTTATGACATAACCTCATTAAAAGTATAATGATACAAAATTACTAGAACTTTATTTAAAATCCCACTCTAGCTACTATAGGAAAAATATGAAAAGGATGCTAATCCATGAAAACGCCCATCATGCTTTATATATCATTAGTAGAGCGCGTGGTTAACCGACACACTATTACGAATTATAAAGCGATATGATGAGCATCTCAGAAATTATCATTGTTGATGGAGTGGTTGTGGTTAACCGACACATCAAATTGAGATAATAAATGAAGTCAAGGTTGCTAAGCGTGTTTGCATGGTTATTCACATCTTGTTTGTGATCCTTGGTATCCTAGTCACAAATAGAACAGAATAATATGAGATTGATAGATTCAGTGAATCTCAAAAGTTCTAAGAATTTCATAAATTAACATTGGTGAATTGTTTTACCTACCTTTATAAATTCGCAATTAGATTACGACACTCCTCTACTAGATTGTGAATTGTGCAGTTGGATCCTAGCATTGATTATTTATTATTGGTTAAAATATTAAGGAATTTATATCAACTAACTAAAAAATTTCTTCTCCTATAAATGGCTACTTATACAGGTGATGCTACTGCTGCTCAAACCTCCACCAACGACTCAAACTTCACTATTTTATCAATCTTGTGAAAACAGAAATTACTTGGTCCAAACTATATAGACTGGATGAGAAATCTCAAAATGAATCTTCGATACAAGGGCAAAGAATATGTCCTCGATAAACTTCTACTCGTAATCGATGAGTCAACTGCTAATCCAAAGGAACATGTTACCTATAAACAACACTACGACAACGCAACAAAGGTCTCTTGCATAATGGTTGCAACCATGGTACCTGAGTTGCATATAACATCAAATGGTGACACGTTTATTAATGATGGTACATTGTTAAAGTTAGTTTGGCTAGCTAACTACAAGGAAGCAACGGAAAGCCTTGAAGATACCAAGTGGGAGGAGGAAATGAATAGCGAGATCCAATCTATGTATAATAACCATGTTTGGAATTTGGTTGTTGGTGTAACAGGTCGAAAGACAGTTGGTTGCAAATGGATCTTCAAGAAGAAGAACAATATAGATGGAAAAGTACACGCGTTCAAAGCACGACTGCTTACGAAGGGCTTTACTCAAACCCAAGGGATTTACTATGATGAGACCTTCTAACCAATGGCCAAGATAAAGTCTATCAAGATAATGTTTGCCATAGCTGTTTTGCATGATTATGAAATATGGTAGATGGATGTCAAAACTACATTCCTAAACAAGAAGTTTGTTGAGGATGTTTACATGAGCCAACAATAGAGTTTTGTACATGCAATGTTTCCTAATAGAGTGTATAAGATTGAGGAATCCACTTATGGATTGAAGCAAGCGTCTCACAAGTGGAATCTTTTCTTCCATGAGAAAGTCAAAGAGTTAAGTTTGCCTAAGAGAGTGGATAAGTCATGCATGTATGTCAAAACTAGTAGGAGTGTAGTGATGTTCCTAGTATTGTATGTTGATGTTATAATCCTTATAGGAAACGATGTTCCAACCTTGCAAGAAGTGAAATCTTGGCTTGGAAAGTATTTCTCTATAAAGGATCTTGGGGTAGCGGCCTATATTCTTGGGATATGAGTTTTTAAGGATAGAAAGAAAAGACTTATTGGTCTTAGTCAAAGTACATACTTGGAAAAGATCCTAAAACAGTTTAGTATGGAAAATTCCAAGAAAAGGGAACTACCTGTTCATAGTACTGTTAAGTTGAGTAAGACTCAAAGTCCCAATAAAGATGAAGAGATAGCTGACATGAGTCGAGCCCCATATGCTTCAGCTACAGGCTTGATTATGTATGTTATGACATGTACTCGCTCTGTTGTTTCTTATGCTTTGAGCATCTTGGTCGATTTCTATGCAATTATGGAAGAGCTCATTGGACTGCAGTAAAGAACATTCTTAAGTATCTGCGCAAGACAAAGGAAATGTTTCTAGTCTTTGGTGGTAGTGATGTGTTGAGAATGAGTGGATAC